GGGAGGGAACTTGGGAGTATCAACTAAATCCAGATATTCACTTTTTGATGCAGCAATCCCAGTTCTATGAATTTACCCTGACGATACACCTCAGATAATAAAAAAATACCTATAGGTACAAGGTTATTCTTTTTGGCATTGTTTATAATTGCAAAATATTGGAAACCACCTACATGGGCAAACATAGAAGAGTGGCTAAATTATGATACATCTACAAAATGGGGTACTATGTACCTGAGACCGAGAGAGGGAGAAAGAAGATATTATCAAATGAAAAATGCAAAGTGTAAAAGAATAGTTATAGGATGCTACCCTTAATGTAGGATAAATAAGATAATATACATGTATGTGTCAGGGCAGAAAAAATGTTCCTTCTACTCTTCTAGGTTCTTTGCTGGTTTAATAATTAAATTGACATAAGACAGAGTAAGAGGAGAAAAACTAATTTCGTATGTACAGGATACCTATAAAAATATGAGACCCAAAAGTAGTTAGGCAATTGAAGCTTATATGCCATCCTGAGCTAAGGAATGGAATAGGGGCTTCAAAGGGGTTTCAAATGGGAGGAGGGCAATTCACAGGATGATAAGAAGAGCAGATGTTTGGTAGTCAAATGTTTGCCCTGCCACGTGGGTAAGTCTTTCAGATAAAAAGTTATCTCTGATATAGCTCTCTTTCTGGGCCAGACCCCTATCTAAATTCTTCTAAGCAGTTAAAAGAGAGGTAAACGTTTTTCTTGAGTGTGCTGGGTCTTGATTGCTTTCAGCTTAAAATAAGCCACACGCCAAAGTGGAACATTTTGTAGACATTTCTTCAAAGAAGACATACAGATGGCCCACAGGTACATGAAAAGATGCTCAATATAGCTAATTATTAGAGAAATGCAAATCAAAGCGGCATGTTTTGGTGTGGCATTTCTGCTCCCCTTCATATGTGTTCATTTGTGCGAAAAGAAACAGAAAAGATAAACCAGAAATTAAATAGATTAGTTACCTCAACAAGGGGGTGGAGGGGAGGGCAAAATGGAATTCAAACGAAAACAAAGGAACCTAACAATATTTCAAATGAATCGTGCAGCCTCATGGGGGGTGGTGGGAAGAGGGAGAACTAACCCAAGTAATTTTTTAAATTAATTAATTATATTTATTTATTTTGGGCTGCGTTGGGTCTTCATTGCTGCGCACAGGCTTTCTCTAGTTGCGGCGAGCAGGGGCTACTCTTGGTTGCGGCACGTGGGCTTCTCATTGCGGTGGCTTCTCTTGTCGCAGAGCACAGGCTCTAGGCACGCAGGCTTCAGTAGTTGTGGCACTCAGGTTCAGTAGTTGTGGCTCTCGGGGTCTAGAGCTCAGGCTCAGTAGTTGTGGCTCTCAGGGTCTAGAGCTCAGGCTCAGTAGTTGTGGCGCACGGGCTTAGTTGCTCCGTGGCATGTGGGATCTTCCCAGAGCAGGGGTCGAACCCATGTCCCCTGCATTGGCAGGCGGATTCTTAACCACTGCGACACCAGGGAAGTTCCCCCAAGTAATTTTTGAACACAGTATTTTGACTACCATCAGATTAAAAACAAAAAGGAACTGCATCAAATATTGAAGCTACAATAGGCTTGTTAAACACAGTATTTTGACTACAGACCACCAGGAACCTGAAGACAAAAGAAACTGTAAAAAAGTATTGACCTGTAGTTGGTAGATTTGTTTTTCACAGTCTTGTGGGTTAGCAATTCTGGAGTTAATGTGTATTATATGATTACACAAATAAGTAAATTTATTGTGGATATTGGGAGCTAGGTTTCTTTCTGTTGGAGAAGGGACTTACAAATATGAAAAGTAAGGAAACTAGAATGAATCTTGTGTTGTTGTGTTGAAATGGAAGGTATTAGTAGTGTACTTATGTTTTTAAAGTATATATGCCTATAGCAAAATATATAAATATAGATGTGTGTTTACATGGATTAGACTATATACATGTATTTTCTAGCTCTGTACACTGAGAGGGCCTAGAAACAATTACACCCTAGTAGCAATGAATACTTTCTCAACTGGGGCTGAAAAGGAATAATGTTGAGTCTGGAGCATCTTGTAATGCCAGAAAGGAAGTGCATTAAAAAAAATGATGGGGGCATGTCAAAGGGACACAAAAGTCAACTTGAAGGAGCTCCCACTGGCCAAATCTGGGACAATTTGAGCGTCAAAGGAAATAATGATAGTGATTGATTATAATGTATAATGTATAATGAATAAAATAAGAACACGAGTCTGTACAGATATAAACACATAAATGGGGAAGAAGAGAAAGCTCTTCCTTACAGTAGAAGAGTAACTAACAAGTATCAAAGGAATGTTGGTGTTAGAAAATAATCGATGGATGCTGAAGCCAATGGTTCAAAATTTTTATATTTAGAGACAGAGAATGATAAAGCAAAGGTGGCAAAATGTGAACAATTGATGAATCTGGCAAAAGGGTACAGGGAATTTCCTTGTACCATTCTTGTTTTTCTGTACGTTTAAAATGGCATCAAAATTAAGTTTCTCCCCCCCACTCCCCGCCAAAAAATAAAGAAAATAGGGTGTATCCTAGTAGAGATATGTGGCTGCTAAACATGCTTTCTAATTTTTTTCTTTCCCACATAAAAACTACTGTTTGGGTGGCAGGGTTTGCAGAGGTGGCCGGTAAGCACAAGAGAGGCTTATAATGCATTTTAATACTTATTTGAATGTTCCCGGTGTTTCGTCATCCTATTTTTGTTTTTTAAATGCAGCTTTCCCGTTTGCGTCACTGCCATTCTTTCCTCACAGGTATTTTAAATTTACTGGTGGCTAGGCCCTTTATCTAACAACAGCATCATGTAGAAAATCAGCGTCAAATCTTTAACAACAAAACAAAACAAACAAAAAAAACGTCAACGGTTTCACCAAAGGCGGAATTCCCTTTTGGGGTCACCCGGAGGAGGGCGGGAGCAAGACGTGCGAAAGCTTCCGCTTTCTTTTCTACGGTAAAGCCAACCATTCTCCTTAAAGGAGTACCACAGAAGCGTGATTTTCGGTCGGCAAACGCATCCCTAGCGACGAGTCCACCCATGACACAGGGATGCCATAGTGTCGCATCACAATGAGTAGTCTATGAGAGCTCAAAAGCCAGAACAAATGACCTTGATTCTGGTAAAATATTACATTGCAATTCACCTAACCTGTCAGTTTCCTTCTCTTGTTTTCCAAAATGCTGAACTTCCGGAGTAGACTCCTCCCCCCTCTATTCCTGCCCAGTGGTTTGGTCCGACCTTAATACTACTGACAGGAGGGACAAACTGCGTCTGCGCAGAAAGCTCTTGGGGGGGTGGGGGGGGAGGAACATGGCGCAAGCTCTGTCTGAGGAGGAGTTTCAACGGATGCAGGTGCCGCTCGCCGGGGAAAAGACCACCGGGCTAGGCGACGGGAGGGCGGGGAAGAGAAAGATCGTCCCACCGGCTTTGTGCAGGGGTTGGTTGGGATGGACCTTGAGCCTAAGGGGTTGGTCTGGAGAAGGGAAACTGAGGCTCCGAGTGGTGAGACTACTGGATTCCGAGATACAATTGGGTTCTGAGGGGATGGATTCTGTTAGCCTTGTGGGCGGAAGAGAGAGTCCTAGCGTGGGCGATACCTTACTCAGACTTGGAGGGGACGAGACCTTTGGGCCCGTGCGGGGGACACCTTGGGTGGGTGACGGTAATGCTGGGGTTTGAGGGAAGGAGATCCTGAGAGGGGGAAACCATTTTTGCCTGGAGAGGAAGGAAGCGGGTGTTGGGCTGTTTGCTTCGTGGTGGGGGGAGCCCTGGAGAGGGCAATACCATTATCGGTGGGAGGTGGACGTTTTTGTGGGAGATACCACTATGTCAGGGGACTGGGGAAAGACCCCACATGTCATTGTTCCTGGGAGGTGGAGCTCCTGTGCGAGGGGTGGTAGCGGATCCCAAGAGAGGGCAGTACCATTGGATGATTACGGGTGATCCCATTAGATGTGGGGTGAAGAAGGCCCTGAATGGGTAATACGATTAATCCTTGTTGGAGAGAGGACCAGAGGAGGTGAAAGAGTGATACCTTGGACTGCGTGGAGGGGAAATCACCAGTCTGTGGAGAGGTACCCTGACTGAGTTCTGTGACCACTTGATTCTTTTTGGGGGAACTCTGAGATGGATGAAAGGCCAGAGTGGGCCCTTGTTGAGAGAATTCCTTCCTGGGGAGGGCCATTGGATTTTGTGTGGAGACTGAAAGGGGGAAACCCTGCGTAGGGTCCTGTGGGAGGACAGGAGGAACTCCGAGTGAGAGCAGGTAATCCATTCATCCTTGAATGAAGGAAACCAGTTGTCACTATGTGAGGGACCCTGAGGGTGGAAGACTGAGATAATTGGACCAAAAAAGGGGAAGGCCCCTGTAACTTGTGCAGAGTATTCCATGTGAGTAAGAGTAATCCAACTGGCCCACCCAAGGCCTTGTGGGGGAAAAACCCTGAAGGGTATAACGTCATCCCATTGGATTATGAATGGGGAGATCTTGAGGGGTATAGGGGATCCTTGAATGAGGAAGATTGATTCTATTGGTCATGAGTGAAGGGAAAACCATTGGGCTCTGATGGATAGACACTGTAAGTGGGTGCCAGGGGTGTTCCAACTGGATCAGGACTGGGGGAGACAGATCACTGGGTCTGGGAGAGGACAGGGGCAGGAAAGATTCTGTAGAGGCCAAGCCCTCTCACCTTTAGCAGACCACCCAGGGATGGAGGCTGGTGCCGTGGGAGAGAGGGAAAGGTCCTGGTGGGGTAAGGGATGGTGGTCTGGGAAGAATTGGCCTCAGCACCTACAGGGCTGGTAGGTAGGGATATGCTGTTTGGAATGGCCCATACTTCACTTTCCCTCAATTCTTGAAAGGGGTCTGGACATATTTTGAGAGCCTTGGGGGTGGGGACCCTGGGAAGCCCCCTTTTACTCAGTGAAATTGGTCATAATACCAGGCTCTCTTCCCTTGGGAAAGAGGGAGGAAGGCAATCCCCTGCCCCCTACTCTGGCCAAGAGGATAGACAACACCTCTGACAGAAGACAGAACAGTGTTTAGCGTGTGACGAGGCCAGTCCAGATGAAGAGGCAGACTTTATCCTTTGGGCATGGAACACACATGAGCAAGAGACTGACTGGGTCAGCACTCTGTCATGGCCTGAGGGCACAGCTGGATTGGAAGGGGAGGGATGGAGGCAGCAGGGAGACAGGTGAGGCTGACTGTGTTTATATAAGTAGAACTGGAGAAGGTGGGACAGGCTGAGTGGCTGGACTTATTTGGGATGAAGCAGGCACGGGTCTTAGGAGTGACTAAAGAGGCGCATGGAGGGCAGCAGGGTCTGTAGGGCTCAGGGGATTGGTTCTCTCCTCATGAGGGTAGGGGGCACATTCCTGCCAAGTCATTTCCTTCCCTGCTTCTCCCTAAGGCTCAGCTCCTAGAACTCCGGACAAACAACTACCAGCTTTCAGATGAACTACGCAAGAATGGTGTTGGTGAGCCAAGAGGGTCTCATTAGATGGGGGTGGCTTTGGAGGACAGAGGCCAAGGGGAAAAAATCTCAGAGGCCTGGCAGGAGGACCTTTCAGCTCCTTACCGCTGACTGAGGCTGAGACTCCCTGCTTTCCCCACACCAGAACTTACCAGTCTTCGACAGAAGGTCGCCTACCTGGATAAGGAGTTCAACAAAGCTCAGAAGGTACCTCCTTCCACCTACTCACCCACCCATGTGTTCCCTGTAGCCATCTGACTCATTCATCTGTCCAGTGAGCACCTACAGTGAACCAGGCCTAATGTTACATGCTGTCACTAGTCGTTCAAAAATTTCTCATGGAAGTCTCCTTTGTTTGGTAATTTTATCTAGGTCTGCTTAATTTATTAATTAATTTTCATTTACTCTTAATTCATTTTTAATTTCAATTACTCATTCTCATTCACTGATTTCTAACTAAATAATCAAATCTATCAGTAAGTCTGCCTTGAACCTGCCTCCTGTCCCCCACTCATACTCCTGCCTTGTGCTCCTATTCCCCACCCCTGTCCTGGTCCTGTTGGTAAAGTGAGACTAAACCTACCTCTCAAATCCTTTGAAGATGAGATAGCATATAACCTATCATGGCCCCTCAAGGCATTCAAGGCCCTCCTTTGTCTCTTTCTTCACTGCTCTGTCCCCATGCATAGTACAATGTTATACGCAGTATGTTCTCCATATATATTTGTTAGATGAAGGAACACAGAATGCAGAAAGTCTGGCAGTCAGAAAGCTAGGCTTCTCTTTGGTAGGGTACTGATTTCCCAACCTGGCAATGCCCTCAGCTGCCCAGCAGGGGAACAGCAGTTTCCACGGTGCATGGGAGGGATCCACATAGATGTGTTTGGACAGATGGAACAGTGAAGCCATAATTTCTGAGTCCGGAGATCCAGCCTATGAAGGGTTAAATACTAAGACCCATGAAAAGCCTCAAGAGCTTAGAGGAAAGGATGTAAGCAGGGTGCTCCTCATTCACCCACTCACTCCATCATTCCTGTGGGCTACAAATTGTGGTTAAAGACACCCCCATCCCTCACCCCCTGTTATCATGGTCCCCCCTTGACACTTGCCACAGTATCTCCATACCCTAGTGAGGGAGTCCATCTCTGGTCACCTTATCTCTCTTCTCACCTCCCTCACCTTTAGGCACTGAGCAAGAGCAAGAAAGCTCAGGTAAGGGGACCCCTGGCGGGTAAATGTGTCTGGGAGACTGTCTTAGAGGGGATATTTCTGTATGCTGGGATCTCCTGGTACTGGCCTTTCTTTCTCTGTGTGTGTGCTTGCATCTGTGACTACCTCCCTGCCATGTGTTTTTGTGTCTATCTTTGTTCTCCTGTTTTGTCTCTCACTCTGCACCTCTCTCTGTATGTCTTTCCTTCTCCCTTTCTTTCTCTGTGTCCTCCTCTCTGAGTCTCTCTTTGTCTCCGTCTTTCTGTTCCTCTCGGATTCTTGTTTCTCTCCCCAACCTTCTCTTTTTCTTTCCCCCACCTGTTCCTATCTCTGCCATCGTTTCTCTCTTTCCTTCTTTCCCTTTCTTCCTCTCTCTTGACTCCTTGTTTCTCTCTCCCCTGTTCCTCTCTCTCCTGTTCCTTTTTCTCTTCCTGATTCATTTCTTTCCCTGACCCCCTCTCTCTGTTCTCCCTCTGTTGATCTCTCTGTTCCTATCTCTCTGTCGCCCTACCTTTTCTTTTTTTCTCTCTCCCCCATCCCATCCCTCTCTCCTTCCCTATCTAACCCCCTTTCCCCATCTTTCTCTGCTTCCTTTCTTCCCTATTTCTATATACCCCTCTCTTTCCTCCCACTGTCTCCCCTCATCCCTTTCTCCTTCCACATCTTCCCTTCTCTCTACCCCATGTCTCTCCTCCCTCCTTATCTCCTCTTTTATCCCTCCTATGTCTGTCTGTCCCCCTGTATCTCCTGATTTCACCCATCTCATTCTCTGTACCCTATGTTCTCCCCCAATGTCATTTTCTCCCTCTCTCTGTTTCTTTGCCCTACTGCCCCATCCTTTCTACCCCTGTTGGAGACCTGGCCCACATCTGCCACTGCAGGAAGTCGAGGGGCTGCTGAGTGAAAATGAGATGCTGCAGGCAAAGCTGCACAGCCAGGAGGAGGACTTCCGTTTGCAGAACAGCACGCTTATGGCCGAGTTCAGCAAGGTGCTGGTGCCCTGGATAGTTGAGGGGGGTCCAAGGGGTAGGGGCCACCTGGGCTGAAGCCGGAGGGCAGCTGAGGGTGGTTGGACAGAGGCTGGCCCTGGGTCACTGTCCATGGTGCTGAAACAGGGCCTCGATCTCTGCTGGGGGGCAGTGATTTGACAGATGGGACCGCCCACTGTGCTGGGATTAGAAGGCTGCAAGCCATGAGGTCAGCTGGTTCCTGACCAAGTCACTCCTTTCCTTTGAGCTTCAAGTCTCCTTGTGTATATTTTGGGGCTGATGCTGTGGAGCCCCAGGTTGTCGGGAGGTCTTAGGTAAAATTCTTATGCTTAGTATGGGATGGAAAGATGTTCGAGCTGCTTCCCTTTTCTAAGTTTTTCATGTGTTGTAAGGGAAAAAGTCTCACAGCAACAAAAAAGGTATTTCCAAGGCTCTACCTGAGAATGTAGGGCTCAAAACCTTAAGAAAGAAAACAAACCAAAAACACAACCTTTGTGTAGGTACAATACCAGAGGCAATTTAGTAAGTAGTAGTTAAGAGCCAGAGGCCTAGATTAAACTCTTGGCTCTGCCTTTTACTAACTGTAACCTTGAGCAAGTCACTTAAGCTTCCTGTTTCTTGGTTCCCAAATATTTAAAATGGAAAAGATGATAATGACAGTACCTGCCTGGCAGGGCTTTTGTGAGGATTGAATGGGTTAATGTCTATAAACCACTTAGAACAGAGCCTTGCACATAGTATCAGCTATGTAGGTGTTAGCTACTGATAGTATCCTTTTATTAATTCATTTTCCCTCTAAAATATTTCTTGACTATTTAAAAGTTTTATATCCATCCTGTGACCTTGCCCTGCCTCAGCCCTTACCACCTGTATTCCCACAGTCTCCTCGCTGGTCTCCTCACTTCTAGCTTCTTTTACCAGACCAAGCCGTAACGGTTATCCTGACCCGCAGGTCTTACCACATTGCTTCTTTAGACAACACCTCCCAGTGGGTCCTCATCCCCGAAATTTCAGAACCCCTGGTGCTCACATAACAGCTGACCTCATCGCCTCACTTCTCACTGCTTCCTGCCTCTGGCCTCAGTGGTATCATGGTTCTTGCTGGGTGAGGCAGGGACAGTTATTCCTCTATAAACCCAGCTCATGTTTCTCAGCACCTGCCCTGGGCTAGGCACTGAGCCAGGTATAAAACCTCCTTCGCACTACCCCTCCTCCTCCTGGAAGCTAGAAATGCTCACAGGGAGACCTGAGTTCCAGGCCCGCCTCCACCACTTATTTGCCAAGATATTTCAGCTCAATTGTTCCTTCAACAAATAGTTATTGAGCCCGCACTATGTGCTCTGTGTTCTGGAAATAGTTGTGAGCAGTACAAAATAGTCCTCCCTCTTGGGTAGCTTCTATTCTGGGGGTGGGATGGGGAAAAAGATGATAACATAGTAAACAAATAATAATAATAGCACTGATAGCTGACAGTTACATAGTGTTTACTGTGTGCCAGGTCCTGTTTGATGTGCTTTACATTATTCACTTATTTAATTCTCACAGCAAACCGATGAGATATCATTACTATCCCTATTCGACAGATGGGGAAAACTGAGCCCCCTAGAGATGAAGTAATTTGTGCCAAGGTGAAATGGCAGAGTAGAAATTCACATCCAAGCAGTCTGGCTTCCGAATCTATGCTTATGACCTACGTTACAAAATAAAATTTAATTGTGAATCACAATTTATGATCCAAACATTTTCAGAGATTTAAAAAACTAAGAACATGTTAGGTAAATTTAATTGCAATTCGTGCTAGGTAAGAAAGAAGCAAACAATGCTGTGCTAGAGAGTATTGGAATTTCTGTGTTGGGGGATACTACTTGAAAGGTAACATTTGAGCAGAGCACTGAAGGATGCAAAAAAGTCGGTCATGTGAAGAACTGGATGAAAGGAATGGTGTTCTGGGTAGAAAATATCCCAGGCAATAAAATAAAAATTCTCTGTGGGCCTCAGTCTTCTCATCTGAAAATGGGGACATAGGATCTTGTCAGGTCTGCCGTGTGAACTGTGTTTTCTTCAGGAGTTGAGCAGGGGGCTGGCTTAGTTTTATTTGCGTCGTACTCCTCTCCACGGGCTCTCCAAGGGCTAACGAGAGGGAGCCATGGGCAGTGCTAACCCTGGAAATGCTCTGAAAGCTGTCTGTGGTGCCTCGGCTCCCAGACGCAGACCCCTCCACAGAAGAAGGCTGGCAGTGGGGCTATCCATGATGCTGACATCTTGGACCAGCAACTTCCAGAGGAGCCTGCGGTCTTGGATTGCAACTGTGAGGTTGAAAGCGGGCAAGCAGAAAATTGTTCTCAGTATTCTCCATCTTCCATGTCTCTGTCACTTAACAGGTGTTTGAGTTTGAGGTTGTTTAACATCTGTGCCTCAGTGTCCTTATCTGTGAAGTGGGGATAATGAGTAATGAGAGCCTCTACATCACAGGGGCGTTATGGGAATTAAATGAATTGTAAAGTACATGGGCCAAATGCTATGTATATTTCAGCAAATGTTGTTCTGATTCTTTGCTCTTCTGCTACCTCACTTGTCCCCTGCTCAGCTCTGTAGCCAGATGGAACAGCTGGAGCGGGAGAACCAGCAACTGAAGGATGGGGCTGCCAGGGCAGGGGCTACCCAAGCCGGGAGCCTTGTGGATGGGGAGCTGCTGAGACTGCAGGCAGAGAACACAGCCTTGCAGAAGAACGTGGCAGGTGCATGGAGACCCTCCTGGGGATGTGGGGACCTTGGGGCTTGAGTAAGGTGTTGTCTTCCCTGGGGGAAGAAAAAGGCTTCAGAATCAGGCTTGGCCCTGCCATGAACCAGTGTATGATTTTGGACAAGGCATTTCACCTCTCTGAGCCAAAGCTTTGTCATCTACGAAGTGCATGTAGTGATGTCTACCACCTGGAAAATTGTAGTAGAGATAAGAGGTGATATATTTCTGAGCTTAGTTCAGCACCTGGTACCTAGCAAATGTTACTGATAAGCAGATTGAACATCAGAAAGGAGGTGTTTGCTAAATGGAGAAAGTGAATGAAGGAGTGTTAGGAAGATTCTGAGCCCAAGTTGTCAGTGGGGTCTGGGATGAAAGCTGAAAGAAAGTTTGATAAAGTGTGGGAGTGAGTGTCCTGATGTGTGGACTTGTGGAGAGCAGCTGGGCTTGTGGGGTGGTGGGTGGTAGTTTGGTGATCAGGAAGGAGACTTTGTAGAATGTGGCTGGGGATTAGAGGTTATAGGAGGATTCAGCTGTAAATGGAGGATGGTGGGCATCACCTTGGAGGGCTGTGGGAGGGGCTTGGGGATGGGGGTGGGGCTTGGGAAATTATCTTGGGCTGATTTGATGGTAGACAGGATTTCCGTGTTTGGTGGGGCTTAAAAGATTTGTGAGAGGTGGGGGCGAACCTTTGTTTTGTAGGCTTATGGCCACTGAGGCAGGGTTTCTGCTACCTAAGGGGTTGAAGGCCAGTTCTCCTTCTATTTGAGGTGTGTCAGGGGTCTTCTGAGACAACTTCATCCATCATATGTCTCTGTTCTACCCACCAGCCCTGCAGGAGCGCTACGGGAAAGAGGCTGGGAGGTCCCCAGCTGCCAGTGAGGATCAAGGGGATCCCTTGGGGGGCCCAGCTTCCCCTGTCCTGGCCCCCATGCCATTGGCAGAAGTGGAGCTGAAATGGGAAATGGAGAAGGAGGAAAAGAGACTGCTCTGGGAGCAACTGCAAGGCTTGGAGGTGAATCTGGGTCTGTTGGGGCTGGGGTGCCAGGAGGCAGGCAGATGCCCTAGCTCTGCCTGTGGTCCCACGGAGCTATCTGTGACATCACCATCTTGTGGGCTGATGGATTAGGAAGGCAGGAGGGCAGGGAAAGGCACAGGCCTTACCTCCCTGCTTGCTGATAACAACTCCCTCCCTCATCCTTCCCAGCAGACCTTGAAGCAGGCTGAAACATCCAGGCTGCAGGAAGAACTTGCTAAGGTGGGGCTGCCGAGCTTTCCCTGGACTTTGCCCCACCCACTCCCCACCTGCCATGCTTCCCCTGGTAGGGTAGAGGGGCAGAGTATCTCTTCAAAGCCTCAGTTTTGTCATCTGTGAAATGGAGAGACTCTCATTTATGTCTCAGATTTGCTTTCAATATGAAATGGGCTAATGTGGTCCTTCTATGTCTTGTGCATGGCAGGCCCCATCCCATCCTTCTGGGTCCTCCGATCTCTGCTTTTTCATTCATCTATCCATCCACCCATCCGTCCATCCATCCAAGTATTTATAGACTGCTGGCTCTTATCTTAGGAACTTGAGACCCAGTGGTGAGGCAGCCAATCATGATCCTGTTTTCCAGGCCTCCCAGCCTAGCTATTCTATGACATGGCCATCGGTCGATAGGTCGGAGGCATAAATGTTGGGCTTTGGAGCCTGAGGAGCTGGGTAGAGGTCATGTTTTTGCTGCCGACCAGCTGCGCAACCAAATTATTTAACCCTTCTGAGACTCAGTTTCCCATTTGTAAAGCCAGTGGTGCTCACTTCTCAGGACTGTTTTGAGGATTCCATGAGGTAACAAAAGTAAATTCCAGTTTCTATAAAGGACTTAGTAGGAAGTGTCTGTAAACATGAAGTAAATTTTTGTCTTTATTAATATTATTCTCATTCTTATCACTTGTCTGTACCCTCCTCCCCCACTCCAGCTTGCCGAGAAACTGAAAAAGAAACAAGAAAGGTAAATTTCTTTCTTCCAGAGCTGGGGGGAAGGGGTTTGCGGGGACTAAGGAGGGGATTGACTTGTGGAATGGACCCATATATGTCTGTCTTTCTGTGCCCAGTTTTTGCCGTCTGCAGACAGAAAAGGAGACACTATTCAATGACAGCCGGTAACTACCAGGGTTGGGGATATTGGTGGACAATGGGGCAGTGCCCAGCAGGATTAACCGAAGATCACAGGGGCAGAGCTGGGAGACTGGGCCTCAGTCTGTGGTCAATGTGCCCCTCCCTCCCACCAATCACCCCCAGGAACAAGATTGAGGAGTTACAACAGCGGAAGGAAGCTGATCTCAAAGCCCAGTTGGCTCGAACTCAGAAGCTGCAACAGGAACTTGAGGCTGCCAATCAGGTAAGGGGTTGGGTTCTGAGATCACTGGGATAGGGACAGGGCTGGGAGTCCGGGGAGCTCTGAGGTCTACGGAGGCTAGTTGGGGAGTCTGATATTTCCTGTGTTGGAAATATAGGGACTGGATGGGTCCTGGGCCCCCTAGGAGCTAGGAAAATGGGAACTAGGGAACCCCGAGAGCCCTAGGAGTTGGGCTAGGAATCTGCATGAATTAAAGATCTCAGCGGGGCTGAGGACTAGGGGCCTATGTGCCACAGGTTTGGATGAATCTGAAACTCCAGGGGATTAGAGACAGGAATCTGGAGAAATCTGTGGTCACTGGATTGGGACCAGGAGTTTGGAGTGAGTCTGAACTCCCTGGAGGTTGGGTAACTTTGAGACCTATGGGGGCTGTGTGGATATAAGACTTTCAAGGGTAAGACAGTTGGGCCTGGAGTCTGAGTGCATTTGAGACCCTCAGAGCTTGGGGGCTGGTTTGGGTCTTAAGACACCTAGGAAGTTGGATCATGTGAGTTGGTGGTCCCTGGGGGCTGTGAATAAAAAACTGGTGAGTCTGAGACATCGAGCGACTGGAGCAAAAGTCTAGGTAGGTCTGAGGCTCCTAAGGGTTGGCGGCTGGGTGACTTTAAAGCCTCCAGCCTTCCCCTTAGAGTGAGTGAGTCTCAGGTCCCTTGGATTGGGGGCTATGATGGCTTGTGGGTCTAACTAAAGCCCCTAGGAGCTGGGGACAGAAGTCTGGGTAAAGCCGGGTGTGAAGATCCCCAGAGACTGGGGACAGGAGTGGCAGGTGTGGTATCAGTCTGAGACCTCACCAGGAGCTGGAAACTACACACTTGTATCAGTTTGAAATCTATAGGATCTGGGGTGGTGAGTTTGGGTGGGTCTGAGACTCTTGGGAACTAGAGACATGGGGGTTGCCTGTGTCTAAAACCCCTGGGGGTTGGGGTCAGGAATCTGGGTGAAGCTGTAGTCCCTGGGGGTTGAGTGTGTCTGAGAATCCTGGGGCCTCTGAGCTGGAATCTGGCTGAGTGTGAGACCATCTTATGGATGGGGACTGAGTGAATTTGAAATCCCCAGGAGCCTAGGTGGTTTCTGGGGTGCTTAGAACTGGGATACAGGGGTGTGTGAGGCCCCTGGGGATGATGACCAAGAGTCTGGGTGAGCCTGAGATTTCTGATGGCTGGGTAGTCCAAGGCCCTCAAGTACTTAGGCAGCATGCTGCCAGGTGGTCAGAGAGGGAGTCTGTGTGGTCATATGTACCCCAGGGGAGGCTGAGGTCTGGAATGGGCTCCCCTGACGTGGTCCCCACAGAGCTTGGCAGAGCTGAGAGATCAGCGGCAGGGGGAGCTCCTGGAGCATGCGGCAGCTCTGCGAGCCCTACAAGATCAGGTACATTGTACTGAGCGGGCTCAGGGAGGTGGGGGTGAGGGTGGGGGCAGCCTCAGTGGGTATTGTACAGGCAGGCAAGGCCCCAGGGTCCTGCTTCCCCTGGTCGTCGTTCTCGTGGGTGTGTGTATGTGTGTCCTTTCTTTCTTGGCTGCGGGTAGGTCCTGTCCTCCTGTTCTGGACCCACTCTCACTCGTTGTGGGGGTGGGGCCAGGTGTCCATCCAGAGTGCGGATGCGCAGGAACAAGTGGAAGGACTTTTGGCTGAGAACAATGCCTTGAGGACTAGCCTGGCTGCCCTGGAGCAGGTACAGGACACGTGGGAGCCTGCGCCGATCCCTCCGCAGCTCCCCATCTCCCTCTGCTTTTGATCCACATTGGGGCAACGTCGTCTGGACCTCATGCTGTTCTCCTGCCTCTGTTTCTGTTTCATTCTCAGCTTCTCCTTTCTGTTGGCTTCCACCCCTCTTCTCTCTGGACATCCATCCCTGCTTTTTTTGCATTCTAGTTTCTCTCCAGTAAACTGCAAGAAGTGTACTAATCTTAAGTGTACACTCAGTGAATTATCCCTGTCTGTATATTTATCTGTCTCCATGTAGCCACCACCCAGATGAAGATATAGAGCATTTTCAGCACCCCAGAAGGTCCCTTTTACCCCTTCTCAATCAATGCTTCCCCAGAAGTAACCACTCCTCTGACCTTTAGCAACATAGATTAGTTTTGCTTGCTTTTCAACTTCATGTAAATGGAATCAGACACCCAATCTATGTCTGGCTTCTTTCCTGAAGCGTTATATCTGTGAGGTTTATCCATATGTAGCACTGATCTGTTCTACTTTCTCTGTGTACTATTTCATTGTATGAATATACCACACTTACCAATCCCCTGTTGATCTCTTTCTCTCACTGCTTTTCTCTTTGAAATACTCTCTCTCTACTCCTGGCTCTCCTTCCACCTCTCTCCCTGTCTCCCTGGAACACCCCGTGACTGGCCCCTGGGGCCCCTTTCACTCCACTTTCCATCACCACCACTCTCTCCAGATCCAAACAGCAAAGACCCAAGAACTGAATACGCTCCGGGAACAGACTGCTGGGCTGACAGCTGAGTTGCAGCAGCGGCAGACTGAGTATGAGGACCTCATGGGACAGAAAGATGACCTCAACTCCCAGCTCCAGGTGACGCCTCTGGCTTTGACCTGTCTCCTCCTAGTTCCCTAGTCCTGGCTCAGTGGAGTTTCCCATGAGGTGCTGTGGGAAGACCATGGAGTCAGGTGGACCTGGGTTCCAGTCTGACTCCCGAACTTATTAGCACCTGTGTGTCCTAGACCAAGTCATTTCACTTGAGACTGAGCCTCTTCAGTTAGTTAGGATAGCCATTCTGATTCCACAATAGAAACCGGAATAGTAGCAGGAGAATGAATGCTGGGGAGCAGCTAGCAGCCTCTGCCATGTTTCTCATCTAGAAATAGAACATCACCCACTTTACCAGGGTTAAGGGAGATGTTCTACCAGAAATGTCCTGGGTGCGCAGCACCTCCTGGGGGCTGTTTATCAAACTCACCCTTTTTGTCCCCACATTAGGAGTCATTGCGAGCCAATAGTCGGCTGCTGGAACAACTTCAGGAGCTCGGGCAGGAGAAGGAGCAATTGACCCAGGAACTACAGGAGGCTCGTAAGGTGGGCAACACCACAGGGGGAGGCCCAGTCTGCAGGGGGCCAGGTGATGTGGGCAAGCCCACGGGAATGGGAGGGCACAGAAAGTGACCAGTTCCATGAGGACGGGTGAGTGACTTAGCCGTTCAGTCGGGATGGGGAGGAGGTGGACTTCGGCTTGTTCCTTGGGCCTTGTTTGGTGTGGGGGGAGGAGGTTGACTGACCTCCTCCTGCCCCCCTCTCCTGGGTGCCAGAGTGCTGAGAAGCGGAAGGCCATGCTGGATGAGCTAGCCATGGAGACGCTGCAGGAGAAGTCCCAGCACAAGGAGGAGCTGGGAGCAGTCCGACTACGGCACGAGAAGGAGGTGCTGGGGGTGCGCGCCCGCTACGAGCGTGAGCTCCGTGAGCTACATGAAGACAAGAAGCGTCAGGAGGAGGAGCTGCGCGGGCAGATCCGCGAGGAGAAGGTGGGTGGGCAGATGATAATGCCTCTCTGCGTCTAAAACCTGGGGAGCGTAGCCTTGCTGATGGGCCAGGGGATGGCGTGAGTGAGGCGCCCGCTCCTCCACCTGGCCCTTGCTGCTCTGCCCTCTTGCAGGCCCGAACGCGGGAGCTGGAGACTCTCCAGCAGACAGTGGAAGAACTTCAAGCTCAGGTACACTCCATGGATGGAGCCAAGGGCTGGTTTGAACGGCGCTTGAAGGAGGCTGAGGTGAGTTGGTGCAGAGGCTGGTTGGGGGGTATGCATGTCAAAGCAGGGGACTGGAAGTGGTCAGGCCCTGGAACTTTCTGAGGCTCTGGACTTGGGCATCCCCACAGCGCCCCCTGGCTCAACAGCAGCCCTCTGGAGGGGATCAGGCCATGGCCATCAATCAGTAGGGCAGAATGTCAGATGTGCAAATTTGAAAAGGCACCTCTTCCTTCTGAAATTGTACTTCTGTCGGAAGATTATTATAATATAATAATTCTAATTTTGATGCAACCAGAACTTTTACTACCATTTTCTGGAAAACTCATGGTAATACATAAGAGGCAGTGTCACGTAGCAGTGAAGAGCACACATGCTGGAGCCAGTTGTTTGCCTGGGTTTGAATCCTGTCTGGGCTGCTTTCTAGCCCAGACAGGGCAAGTAAATAACTTGCCTTGGGCAAGTTATTTACTTCTCTGTGGCCCGTTTTCGACATCCGTAAAAAAAGGGATAACAATAATACCGGCTGTCTAGGTATTACGGGAGGGTTATATAAACTGAGTTAATATATGTAAAATCCCTACAACATTCCTGGTGTGCAGTAAGCGCTACGTTATGTTTTATTAAGTAAAGTAAGATGTAAATGCAGATGTTGGGCTTCGATGTGAATGGCGCAGCCCTCAACGTGACACTCTGTTTCTTCTCTGCATACGCAGGGGCCCTGCTGCAATCCCTCACACCGCTCACTGGGTGTGATGTCCTCTGGGGGGTGTGACGTCCTCTGGGGGGGCCGTGGCCAGACCTGGGACTTGTCTTGTAGGAATCTCTGCAGCAGCAGCAGCAGGAACAAGAGGAAGCCCTCAAGCAGTGTCGGGAGCAGCACGCCGGCGAGCTGAAGGTGCCCATTGCATGATGGCATTCCTCTCTGGTGGGAGGACTGAGGTTTCCCAAGCTGCGGCCTGAGCTGCCCTCTGCTTTGCAGAGCAAGGAAGAGGAGCTGCAGGGTGTGCGGGATCAGCTCCAACAGGCCCAGGAGGAGCGGGACTGCCACCTGAAGACCATCAGCAGCCTGAAGCAGGTCACCCACTGGTCCCTCCTAGTCCCTCGACACATCCTGGGCCTCAGCATGCAGTAATGGGGCAGGGAGGGAGCACGCTGCATGCAGCCATTCTGGCACCCACCAGCTGTGCTTTCTCTATCCCACAGGAGGTGAAGGACACGGTGGATGGGCAGCGAATCCTGGAGAAGAAGGGCAGTGCTGCGGTACGATGGTGAAAGGTGTCCAAGCATGGCCCACTCCTGCCCTGCGGCCACCCCCACCTGTGGGCCCACCGGGCCTCAGCCCCCGTTCCCCACAGCTTTCTTTCCCCCGTTCCCCACAGCTCAAGGACCTCAAACGGCAGCTGCACCTGGAGCGGAAACGGGCGGATAAACTGCAGGAGCGGTTGCAGGACATCCTCACCAATAGCAAGAGCCGCTCAGGTGAGGGGCCCGGATGGCAGGGGAGGCTGAAGTGTGGGGAGGCAGAGCTTGGGTCTGAAGGCTGGGGCTGCTTTCTATACTTCACTCTGCAGGGCTCTCCTGTGTCTTCTGTCCCTCTTGCACTTTGTCTGTCTTTTACCCTTTCTCTGCGTCTGTCCCACCTCTGTTTCTTTCTTTCTTTCTTTTTAATATATTTATTTATTTATTTATTTTTGGCGGCGTTGGGTCTTCGTTGCTGCGCGTGGGCTTTCTCTAGTTGTGGCGAGCGGCGGCTACTCTTTGTTGCGGTCCACGGGCTTCTCATTGCAGTGGCTTCTCTTGTAGCGGAGCACGGGCTCTAGGCACGCAGGCTTCAGTAGTTTTGGCACGTGGGCTCAGTAGTTGTGGTGCATGGGCTTAGTTGCCCCGCGGCCTGTGGGATCTTCCAGGACCAGGGCTCGAACCCGTGTCCCCTGCATTGGCAGGCGGATTCTTAACCACTGCGCCGCCAGGGAAGTCCCTCCTTCCTCTATCTCTCTCTGTGTGTCTCTCTCTCCTTTCTGCTGTGTCTCTTCTCTGTTTCTGTCTCTCTCTGCCTCCTCATGTCATCTCTGTATCTGCCTTTCTCTCCTGGCTTTCTCTTTCTAGTTCTCTCCTTTTCTCCTCCTGCCTTTTTCTTCTCCCTGTTCCTTTATCTCTGTCTCTCTTCTCTCTCGGCTGTGTCTCTGTTTGTCTCCCCACTATCCCTCATACACTCCCACACCTCACCCAGAGTCTCTAAGTCTCTTGTATCCATTCTCTCATTCTATAAATATGGACTGAGCCCTCTCGCTCACATCCAGGGTCCCTGGTAGGAGGCCCGCCCAAATCTCAGTCCCCTAGGAGCTCCCTGTTGAGCTAGGGAGACAGACTTACAATCAGGCAGCAACACTACCGTGTGATCATTATGCAGCTAAAATCCATGTTATTTTTGCCACTTAAGGCAGAAGACACAACAGAAAAATTTGAGTTGCCTTGGACTTTTTTTTAGAAAGAAATGGCCTTTACATATGTTTAAATAAATAAGATGCAGTGATGGCTCTGGTGCATCTCCCATATCACAAACGAGAGAAAACGTGCTCCCTGTCCCTCCACAGCCATCCTGCTCTTACTGGAGATCCTTGGCTTGTGGTGTCAGCCCCCCTCCCTGACACCCAGAAGCAGCTGCAAGAACAGAGACACAAGCTTAGTGGCTGTGTTTCAAGTGACATGGCAAAAACAGGTGTATCTCTTACCAAATCAATGTCTCGCTGAGGCACTCGGTCTCCTGAAGTTACCTCTCTTTATAAGGGAGGACTTTTATTTCTGTTCTGTTACAGATTGGTGTACAGATCAACAAACAGATTCAAATTGTGTGCCATACATTCTATCCGTCCATTAGGTGAAATTCAGATTTAGGTGCATGGCTACGAGTCTGCCGCCATCTTTTCTCTCTTTGTCTCTGCTCTGACTAGTGTCCTTAGCCAGGGTCTCTGTTTGCCTCTATCATCAGCTCTGGCTTGCTGTCTCTCTGGGGTCTTCTCTCTGCACATAGGGGTGCCCCTCTGCCCTCTTCAGCTGTCTTTACCCTGAGTCTGAGTGCATTCACCACTTTATGCCCATGTGTGTCCACATCACCATCTTTCTCCCCATCTTCACCTTTGTTTCACTTCTGGTGTGTGTTTGCCTAGAGAGGCAGCTCCTTTTTCGGTTTCTGCCTTTCCCTACCCTACTGTCGGCTTCCACTGTTACCCATGCCTGAGTGTCTCTTTGCCTCTCTCCACCTCTGTCAAATCTATTTCTGCCTCTTCTTGCCAGTCGGTGCCCTGGGACCCTGGGGGATTGGGGCTCAGATTTCTCTTCCCTCTCTGCCCAGGGCTCGAGGAGCTGGTTCTATCAGAGATGAATTCACCAAGCCGGACCCAGACTGGGGACAGCAGTAGCATCTCCTCCTTCAGCTACCGCGAGATCTTGCGGGAGAAGGAGAGCTCGACTGTTCCAGCCAGGGTAAGGGGCAGGGAAGAACCTACAGCCCCAGCTTCTACCCAAATTCTGGGCCCTCCTTTTTCCCTCCCCTGCAGCCATCTTCTACTCTGGGCCCAGCACACACATTTTCTTGTCAACTTTTCCTCAAGCTCACCAACTTGGATTCAGATTGCTAAATGGGGGATGGACAAATTATTCTCTCTGACCCTCTGTTTCATCATCTTTGGGCTAATTCCACCTTTCCTGGTGCTATAAAATATGTGGCTCATAGTAGGTGCATTATCCATGTGGGAGATCCTTTTTTCCAACTCATAATTATCACTTATTATTATTGTTGTCTGTGTCAGCTTCCTTGCCAGACACTTTTATTTGGAAATAACCTTTTTATCATTCTGTAAGTAGTATGTATACATTGTAGAAAAGTTTAAAAAACACAAGCAAAGATTTTTTTTAAAAATCCAAAGAAATCACATCTTCACCGTACAGAGATCACCACTATAAATCCTTAGTTCATACCGTTCTAGACCTCTCTCTCTCTTTTTTTTAAACCTAAATAAGACTACAAGTAACCTGTTGATCTCTACCCTCCCAATTTGGTAAATTTTCATCTTTTTGAATACTTTGACCTTAGTCAGATTTCTCTAGTGCTTTATTGCTGGTTTTATGGAAACCAGCATTCAATTTCAGAGCACATTTGCTGCATCTGGTTGCTTTATGTGCCTTAAGTCTCTTGAATCTAGTGTGATCCATTTTTTTCATGACATCAACCTGTAGAAGAGACCAGCCCAGTTGACCTGAAGAAAATGTCCCACCTTTGGGATTTTCCTGCTGGCTTCCTAGTGGTATCATTCAGCTCATTTCTCTCTCCCCTAGTTTTCCTGTCAACTGGAAGTGAGAGCTCATTTGTTATAGGCTCTCTCTTCATGGTCTCAATAAGGCTATGGTGTGGTGGTTCCTGTCTCCCCCTTTAAAAGGCAAAGGGGGATCCAGAGTCTCTGAGGGTGCCGAGGCTTGTCTGCAGTTTGTCTGCAGCCCCAGTTGCAAAGCCCACCCCGGCTTGGTTCTCCTTCTCAGCCCCTGATCCTATCTGGGGTGTCGGCACTGAGCCTGGGCTGGCCTCTCTGCCTTCTTCCCCGCAGTCCTTATCCAGCAGCCCTCAGGCCCAGCCCCCGCGGCCAGCAGAGCTGTCAGATGAGGAAGTGGCTGAGCTCTTTCAGCGCCTGGCAGAGACGCAGCAGGAAAAGTGGATGCTGGAGGAGAAGGTGCTGTCTGCCTGCTCGTCCCCTCTTGGCCTGCCCTTGGGGAGGAGGCCGGGGTGGCAGGAGTGGGGGGTGGGGGTGGGGCAATATCTGGCCAGGCCCCTCCTCATGGGTGAACATGCACAGTTGAGGGCCTGAGGTGGGCTGGGCCACCCTGCAGGTGAAGCACCTGGAGGTGAGCAGTGCGTCCATGGCAGAGGACCTCTGCCGGAAGAGCGCCATCATCGAGACCTATGTCATGGACAGCCGGATTGGTCAGTGCCCCTCCCCAGCCCTCACCCCTCGTCCAGCCCCTCACCTACCCCCTCCTTCCCCAGTGTCCAGAGCTGCGGCTTCTCTCCTCTCCTTACGGAACTCACCAAAGTTACTGCCGAGACCACAGGTGCTAGAGGGAAGAGCCAGGCAGGCCAGGACCTGTGTGTCTTGCTCTGTATTCCATCTCTTGTCTCGGCTCCTCCCTCCTGTCTGAGTCTCTGTCGTCTCTCCACTCTCCTTTCTCTAGTGTCTCTCCGTCATTCCCATTGTCCTTTCTCCTCCCTGTGTCTCTTCCTCTGCTTTCTCTCCCTTCTCTTCTTTCTGCCCCATCCCCCCTTCATCTTGTCTCACTGTTCCTACTGCCTGTCTAAATGGTTCCACCTCTGGAAATTTACATTCTCTGGATGCATATCCCTTTTAGGGTCCTTCTCTCCGCTCTTCCTCCCCTTTCCTCCTTTCTCCTCTTCCTTCCTCCATCCCCCATTTTTATTTCTTTTGTTCCCTTCTTTCAGATCTTCTCCTCTCCCTGTTTTTTCCTCATTAATCAGAATAATACCAGTTGACGCTTGCTGAGAGCTGACTGTGTGCTCTGTGCTTTGCATACAGATATGTGTTTTTCCAGCTCCATGAGTTAGTTCCTAACCCCATTTCTCAGGGCCGCACAGCTAGTAAGTGAAGCCAGGTCTCACATGGCAAAGCCTCTGCTTCCTCCATTAGATGGCTTCTCCCCCCATTTTTCTCCCCCACTCTCTGTTTCCCTCTTTCCTGCTCTGTCTCTGTCTCTCCTTCGGCTCGACCGAGGGGGTGATTCTCAGCCTGGGCCCTTGCAGATGTGTCTGTGGCAGCAGGCCACACAGACCGTAGTGGGCTGGGCAGCGTCCTGAGAGACCTAGTGAAGCCAGGCGACGAGAACCTTCGGGAGATGAACAAGAAGTTACAGAACATGCTGGAGGAACAGCTCACCAAGAATATGCACTTGCACAAGGCAAGTGTGGCCTACCAGTCTACCCCTTTGTCTCTCCAGCCACATAGCCCCTGGGTCATCTGTCAGTCCCCTCTCCACACACCCCATTCACCAAGCACTCCTTCCCCCTCATCTTCCCATCCTCCAGTCAACCTACTCACTATCAGTTTAGTCTTTCACTCTTCCCTCTGTCCTTGCACCCACCCACTCATCCATTCATACACACATTCAGCCACTCTCCCATCAACCCACCTACTATTTGTCCATCTGCCCTGCTACCCGTCTAATCATCTGCCCATGCCTTTGCACCCATCTCCTTTTTTTTTTTTAAATATTTGGCTGCACCGGGTCTTTGCGGCACGTGGGATCTTTAGTTGCAGCATGCGGGATCTAGTTCCCTGACCAGGGATCGAACCCGGGCCCCATGCATTGGGAGCGTGGAGTCTTAACCACTGGACCACCAGGGAAGTCCCCTGCACCCATTTCCTGATGCATCACTCTCTCTTACCTACTCATCAGTCACCCCTTGTCTTACCTTTTACCCACCCACCCAGCGACCTGCTTGCCTACCTGTTGTCCTCCATCTGTCCTCTGAACAGTTCATTTTTCCACCTATTTGCCTACCATGGATCTCCCATGCATCCACCCACGTGTCCACTCACCCATCCTGCCACCCAAGTATTTCCCCATCTCTGGGGGAAGTCAGAAATGATGCAAGTCTGGCCCCTGCCTCTGAGAAGCAAGCTCACCATTTAGAGACAAGAAGGTGGCAGGGGTAGGGGTCATGTCCTCCAGCCTCACCACACAGAGCAGATGATCCACTCCCATGTCCATATCCCTAGCTCCGGGCACTCCTCACCCCCTCACACACACCACACACACCTTTTCCGAGCCCAGCCCACTGCTGGGAGCTCTGGGAGCTGCTCCAAATACCTTCCTGTCTCAGGCTAGACATAGCTGGGCATTGATGGGATGAGAAGGATGACACAAAGGCTTGATGAGGGTGCCATCGCCTGCCACCTTCTCTGACTCCTGATGGCTCATTTGTTTCTTAGGACATGGAAGTTCTGTCCCAGGAAATTGTGCGGCTCAGCAAGGAGTGCGTGGGGTCCCCCGACCCAGACCTAGAGCCGGGAGAAGCCAGCTAAAGACCTGCAGGCTGCACCCACTCCCTCCCTTCCCCACCCGCCATTCCCTTGGGCTGTGGTGGGAAAATGGGGGCCAGCGCCAAAATCAGATAGGTTGGGAGACTGGACATTAAAGGGGTTGGAGGCCTGGTGGCTGGCGTTAGTGACCCTGTCTTAGGGCCGAGGCCCCTGGGGAGTGGGGAATCCTGAGGGGAGGGGCAGGGATTCTCCTCCTTCTTGGCCCTGGCTCCCAGGGGCCTTTGCCTTCATCTCTGCATGAGCTCTCCCTCCCAGAGACCAACTCTTTTTTAATTTTATTTTATTTTTTAATTTATGTCTGGAAGCCTGGCTACTCTGCATTTGGGATTGGGGATGCTGGGTGGGGCACGGTCCATGTTCAGCGTTCTAGCAACATGTGTGTGTGTGTGTAAAAGCTGTGCAGCCAAAATACCATCTGGCCAGACTGGCCCACCCACTGACTGTCTGCTCTGATTCTTTCACATCCCTCTTTTCACATGAGGGATGTGCTGGGGGTGGGGAGGTTATACCATTGGAACTGGGAGGGTGGTCTCTGGCTGCAACTTTACTCTCCTTCCCCCACCCTCACCCAGCCTGTCTCCAGTCACTGTTGACCAGCCTCTCAAACTGAATGGAGCAGAAATATCTGCAGATATGTATGTGGGTGAATGTGTATGGGATGTGGGTGTGGATGAGTAGATGGATGGGAGGATGGATAAGTGGTTGGATGGACTGATTGATAAATAAGTAGAAGGTTGCATGGATTGGTGATGGATAGGTTGGGAAATAAATGGATGGATAGGTGACTGGATGAATAAATGGACAAATGGATTGCTAGGTAGATAGGTAGAGGATGGATAGGTGGGGGTATAAATGGATAGATGGATGGCTAGGGGAATGTGTGGATGGATGAGTGGGCAGATAGATGGATGAGCTAATGGGAAGAGTAAAGAGTAGGTGAATAAATGATAGAGCAATGGATAGATGGACAGATACTTGGGTGGTGGGGGATCCATATGGGTAGGGGTAGATGGGGTGAATATACAAATGAATGAGTGAATAGGTAGGTGGATTAATGACTAAATGGACAGATGGGTGGCTAGAGGGAAGGACAGAGTAATTGGCTGTGTGAGGGGGAGAATGGATGGATAAGTGGGTGGTGGGTGGGAGGAGGGATGGGCAAATGGACAAATCAGGAGTGTGATGAGCAAATGGAGGATTACATGGATGGATAAGTCCATTGAAAGGCAAAAATTGGCCCTGCATTACTGCTCCCCCATCACCACACACCTTTAATTGTTAAAGGTAAGGCGTCCTCTGTGTGCCATGCCCCTTTCACATCACTCCATTTATTGCTCCCAAAGACACTATCAAGCTGGGGTAACTCTCCATCCGACAAAGAGAAAAACAATGCAAGTCACTTGCTCAAGGACATAAGTCAGTGGCACAGCTGGGGCTTGAACCCACCCATGCCTGAGGCACTTGGTACCCAGTGCTCTTGCTACCCAGGAGCAGAGCCCTCTAGCGGAGGAGGCATGATTTGAGGCTCCTGGATGTGGACAGATGATGGAGACTGCACCTCAGAGTGGGGCCTGCCTGGGGGAGAACCTGCTATGGAGGTGGGACCTGGCTTGTCCCCATCTGTACTCCCCTTACCGCCCCCCCCCACGACGTTTCACATCCGCAAACAGGACAGTGCTCCAGTCCCACGGCAGCAATCTTGGTTAGAGCAGGACTCTAACCCCTCCAGCACCACTGGGGAGCAGCTTTGGGGGCCTGGCCTCTAGAAAAACACCCCCCCACCAGTTTTCCCCCACCCCCCCTTCTTCAGCCTAGGGGGCAGGGAGGGGACACAGCGCTGCATCATTCCCCGTGGCACTCCCCGCTCTGGGGCCATTAACAGACGCCTCCCCATCGATCGGATCTGCTAAGTGCTGCTGATTCAGACGGGTGGGGGTGGGGGCCCCTGGGGGCAGAGGGGGTAGGATCTGGGCAGGAAGAGGGGGGAGTCCAGGAAGGAGGTGGGGAGAATTGGCAAAGCTCCCTGCCACCCCCATTTTCCAGATGACGCGACTGAGACCCAACCAGCTTTGTAGGAGGCGGAGTCTCCCCAGGGTCCCTCTCAGGCAGTCCTAGGGGAGGGGGCTCTGGGAGCCACGAGGCCCCTCCCTGCCTCTCCATCTCCCGGCAAGCTCAGAGGGGCGGGGAGAGAGAGCCAGAGGAGGTGGAGAACTTGGGCAGCTCTGCAGAGTGGGGCAGGAGCTCCGGTGTTTGGTACCCCCAGCCCCACCGCTGTTGCTGCTGCTGCAGCGGGGACACAGGTGAGGACGGCCCTATGGGGAGGGGGAGGGGACCACCAACAGTGCTGTCCTTGTCCTTCCCTGGTCCAGCCCCCAGGCCCTAGCCCATCCTGGGACAGTCCTACTGGACCTTGTCCTTCCAAGCCTCCTTCCAGGGACCCAGCCCCCTCCTCCTGCCTGTGCTGCCTTCTCTCCCAGGCCTGGCTTCTCCTCTTCCTCCTCACGTCCTGCTGCCGCTGCTGCTTCTGCCGCTGCCCAGCACATACCACTAGCCCCTCGGGGTGTGGTTTCCCCAGACCAGCCCCCAACAGTGGGACGCAGCCTGATCCCGGCCTTCCTGGGCTCCTGTAAGGCCCAGGAGCCCCCCTCCCTGCAGACACACCCAACTCCCTTTCAACACCCCACCCTGCCCTCCAACCCATTTTGAGGGGGACCCCGTCTTCCTCTTATCTTAGTCTTTTTTGATTCTCTGGATGCTCTGGGGCTATGCCCAACTTCCTTCCAGTTGAGTCCCAGCCCTGAGGGGTTCTCCAGGTCCCTTCCCTACCCCCTGAACTCTTGAGAGGGTGGACCAGGCTTTCTCAGCCCCCCTGGATACCCTTCTCTACCAGACACCTCTCAGCCTCTGAAAAATAACCTGGCCCCATATCTAACCCTTTAGATACCCCACCCCCTTCTCCAGCCCCGCTAGGGGGCCCCACCTCTCCTTCCTTCCCCAGAACTCCTGTAGAGTGTGGACACCCCACCCCCAGGCTATTCTTGGCAGCTCTAGGCACTCCCAAGACACCTCTCAGCCTCTTTACAAACTCCTGGCTCTGTAGCCACCCCTTAGATGCACCACCCCCTTTCCTAGATCCACGAAGGGGCTCCAACCCCCTTATCTTCTCCCCAGAAGTCTTGAGAGTTTGGACAACCCTCCTCACCTCTCTCAGTTCCTTCAGAATCCCCCTCCAGACACTCTCAGCCTCTTGCAAACACCTCTGGTTCCATTTCTACCCCTCCGGATGCCCCGATCCCCTCTCCAACCCCACTAAGCGGTTCCAGTCCCTTCTTCCTTCCCTCAGAACTCTTGAGAGTGTGGACAACTCCCCAGTGTTTCTTGCTTCATTCTAGACACCCCCAGATACCTCTCAGGCAGTGCTGACCCCTCTAGAATCATCTCAGTCTCTAAACACTCCCTCGGATCCTTTTTGGCACCTCTAGACGCTCCTCTTCTGCTCCTCTCCATGTCCCCTAGCCCCTTCTCACTCCCTCAAGACATCGCCCTGGTCCCTCTTAGACCCTCTACATGTCCCCCAAGCCCTTGCCCATCTCTCTAGGTCCTCCTCCCGGTTCCTCTTGGCCTCTCTAGACACCCCCAGTTTCCTTGTGCGAGTGGCCCAGGGCCTCTCCAAGCCTCCACCATCCTGGAGACAGCCACATTCTCCTAAAGGCCAACCCCTCCCCCACAAGTCTCCGTGGGCCTGGGGCGCGGCAGGATGGCAGCAGGCGTGGCCACATGGCTGCCTTTTGCACGGGCGGCCGCGGTGGGCTGGCTGCCCCTGGCCCAGCAGCCCCTGCCCCCCGCGCCGGGGGTGAAGGCAACTCGAGGGGATGAGGTTCTGGTGGTGAACGTGAGCGGACGGCGCTTTGAGACCTGGAAGAACACGCTCGACCGCTACCCAGACACTCTGCTGGGCAGTTCAGAAAAGGAATTCTTCTATGACGCCGACTCAGGCGAGTACTTCTTTGATCGCGACCCAGACATGTTCCGGCACGTGCTCAACTTCTACCGCACGGGCCGACTGCACTGCCCACGGCAGGAGTGCATCCAGGCCTTTGACGAAGAGCTGGCCTTCTATGGCCTGGTGCCTGAGCTCGTGGGCGACTGCTGCCTCGAAGAGTACCGGGACCGCAAGAAGGAGAACGCCGAGCGCCTGGCGGAGGACGAGGAGGCCGAGCAGGCCGGGGACGGCCCATCCCTGCCGGCTGGCAGCTCCCTGCGGCAGCAGCTCTGGCGGGCCTTCGAGAACCCACACACGAGCACCGCAGCCCTCGTTTTCTACTACGTTACCGGCTTTTTCATCGCTGTGTCGGTCATCGCCAACGTGGTTGAGACCATTCCGTGCCGCGGCCCTGCACGGCGGCCCCCGAGGGAGCAGCCCTGTGGCGAGCGCTTCCCGCTGGCCTTTTTCTGCATGGACACGGCCTGTGTACTCATATTCACAGGTGAATACCTTCTGCGGCTGTTCGCGGCCCCTAGCCGTTGCCGCTTCCTGCGGAGTGTAATGAGCCTCATCGACGTGGTGGCCATCCTGCCCTACTACATCGGGCTCCTCGTGCCCAAGAACGAAGATGTCTCGGGCGCCTTTGTCACCCTGCGGGTGTTCCGGGTGTTCCGTATCTTCAAGTTCTCCAGGCACTCACAGGGCTTGCGGATTCTGGGCTACACACTCAAGAGCTGTGCCTCTGAGCTGGGCTTTCTCCTCTTTTCCCTTACCATGGCCATCATCATCTTCGCCACTGTTATGTTTTATGCCGAGAAGGGCACAAACAAGACCAACTTTACTAGCATACCCGCGGCCTTCTGGTATACCATTGTCACCATGACCACACTTGGGTGAGTGCAGACCCTGTGTGGGGAGCTGCCCGATCAGTCAATTACACTCACCTTTTCTGTAAAATTAAAAAGGTTAGATAAATGATCTCTCTCTCTCTCTCTATTTGAACTTCAATTTGGTCATCTTTAAAAAGTGAGGGAGTTGGATTAATCTCCAAATCCCTCCCAGCTCTGACAATGCCTTAATTTTCAGGTCAGGAGACTTGGGTTCAACAATGGTCTTAGCTGCACTCTTTCTGTTGACCTTGTTTTCTCTGGGCTAGTTTTCCCCTCTGCAAAATGAGAAATGATGATCACTTCAACATCCAGAGGGGATTCAGTGACATCATGGTTATGAAAGTTATCTGAATGTTTCTGGTGCAGGATAAATAGATATTCGCTTTCTATCACCCCTTTTTCCATCTTGAGGACCCATGTCTCCCAACCCTTTAGATTCATCTGCTGTGTGGGGCACTACCTCTGTGGCTCCGTGATTCCTTGATGTTTCCCCAGAACAAGATATTTTCAGCATCATTTTTTTTTTTTACTGCCAGTCCTTGAGAGGAAATGGGATAAACGC